TAAATCTAGATGTAGGGAAGGTGGTGGCAAATCTAGCCCAATTTAGAACAAAAACTGGATTTTTTAGTCGAAATTCTTTATGGGATAGTGCGAATAGTACTCATCCCGTTATATGGTGGCAAGGCTTGTGTACATCGCAGCCACTTATGCCAATTGCCTCCCGAATTTTAAATGGACCGCCATCTTCCGCCTCTTCAGAAAGAAACTGGTCTTTACACGGCCTCATACATACAAGCAAAAGAATAGATTATCACAGGATAAAATTCAGAAGCTGGTTGCTATTCATTCTAATTTGGTTATAAACGAAAAACAGACATTCATTTACGATGCTAGACCAGTTCCACTTTTAGAAGACACTGGCAAAGATTATGCTGTTTTGTCCGTCCATGAAGACGAAGCCGAGATCGAGTTTGGTTAAATTATATGTTTTCTACCTTTGAAGCTTTGTTTTTGATACTTTCAATTATTAGATAATAATTATAATTTGACCCTATATACATGTATTTATATCTTAGATATTAATAGATATTATTAAAGTATGTTTTTTGTATTTATTTTTACAAAATATGTATAAAAAACTTTAAAATTGGTACCTATTTTTTACGTTTCAAGTCACAATTAAAAAATATTAAAATTTTCCCGTTTTTTCCAATTTTTCCCATGGTCTGGAAAAAAACGTGTTTTTTCCTAATTTTTCCCGATATGTTAAATCTCTAATCATAAAAATCAGTTATAATTATTGCTTCCAAATAATGAAATATGTATACAGCTTAACGTTTTATTTATTAGGCTTTGCAACAGTCTGCTTTGGAGGGAGAAGAAGTGTACCTCGTAATAGGAGATCATATATTCAGCAACGATACCAATTATGATAAAATAAATTTGTTAATATCTTCTTCTGAGGTAATACATTTGATTGAAAATATGTACTGTATTTTTGAAGAGATATTCTTCTAGATCCCAGATTTATATTCAACCACCGAACTTGACTCGTTAGTCAAAGGACTGAAAGATGATATGGAGAGGGAAAGCTTTGATGGAAGTTTGATACAGTACTTCACTGAGCGTAACTCTTAATCTGTTTATCTATTTCTGAATACTTGAATTCAAATCATGTATTTTAGGAGTTAGACGGAAACTGCATATCGTCATTTGCCTAGATGGGGATAATGAGAATCTTTGGAATATTTTACAAGACTGCCTGTACTTTACTCAAAATTGTAGGATAATGTGGAAGACTCAATGGAGCAAAGACGCCATTGAAAATGTGCCAAGAAAGATTATGGAACAGTAATATTTTTATTTAGATTATTTTAAAAATAAATGACATTAAAATTAATTGTAGTTTAAGAAATACAAACATTCTGTCGTGCCATTATTTTTTGCAGGAATGATTGTTATGACCTAAAAATGACTTGCATCGAGAAATTCCCAAAAATATACCTAAATACAAGTTTGGACGTTTCGACACCGTCAAGATACGTCACGATGATCAAACACTATGAAGTTATATTAGAAGATAAACTTTCAGACATCAAAACTAAGGAAAATAAGTTACAGGTGAATGTACGAGGCTTGTTCAATTGAAACCCGTCTTTGGTCAGGTTAGCATTGGAAACAATTCTAATCACCTAACTGACGTCTTGCAATGTTGTTGTGTTAGTAAGCGTCACACTTATCAGTTCCTGTCATTTATTTATTTATTTATTTATTTATTTATTTCCAACAGGTGAAACCCAATTACAGGAAATGCTGAAAACAATAACAATTAAAGAGACATGGTTCTTGGACTTAAATCTATAGTATCACACATTCTAAATAAGATTGGATGATCTATAGCAGTTAATAATCGATGCACAACTGTCACTGTAAATATCACACGATTCAGTAACAATGTTCATGACGCAGCACATGAGATTAATTGGCGATTTTTTCATAACATTTGTACGGCCAGCTTGACAATAGAATGCCGTTTGTTGTCGACTCCCTAGCCTTGGAACGCGGAAACATATTTTTTCAAGTAAATTTTGACAGTCAATTTTATTGTGAATGAGGCCATACAAAAACGACAAAGCAAATATGTTTCGTCTTGTTGACAGTGGATCCAAATTGAAAAACTGTAATAGGGCACTATGGTCACAACCTCTTTCTGGATAAGAACCTGTGCATTTAAGGTGAAAATACTTTAAAGCTTTACGTTGAATGGCCTCAAGGATCACGACAGAATTTTGGTATATAGGAGACCAGATCAGAGTCGCATACTCCAACTTTGTCCTCACAAAAGTAAAAAATAAAGTCATTAATGTATCAACATTGGAGAAACCCTTCCAGTTTCTGATACAAAAACCAAGTAGTCGAGTGGCAGCCGACGAGATATTGAGTATGTGATCAGTAAACGTTAGCTTGGTATCAAAAATGACTCCAAGGTCTCTATAAGAGGTGCATCTGTCTATAACCTGACCATTGATGTTATAATTATCATAAATTAAATAGTTAACCTTTCTTGTATAAGTCGTGACTTCACATTTAGAAACATTCAGACTGAGAGAGTTTCGTGAACACCATGACGAAATTAGAGCTAAGTCATCTTGCAACATGACGCAATCCTCGACTGTCTTGACTGACGTGCAGATTTTAAGGTCATCAGCGAAAAACAAATGGAAACATTTCAGTTTAAAAGACAAGTCATTAATAAATATCAAAAACAATAATGGACCTAGATTTGACCCTTGAGGTACCCCGGACGTGGCCCGATAGTAACTCGACCTATGACCACCATATTCGACAGATAACCTTCTATCCCTCAAATATGAATTCATGAGCGACAGCATTGCATCAGACATACCCACTGTTTTAAGCTTATCCAGAAGTGCATAATGATCAACTTGATCAAACGCCTTCTGAATATCTGTGTAGATGACATCAACTTGTCCCTGACCGTCTAGTACTTCAGAAATGTACTGAGTAATTAGAGCCAAGTTGGTGACCGTAGATCTGCCTCTCATAAACCCATGCTGATTAATAGAGACTGCACCCCTGACCGAGCAGTAAAGCGTTTCATAAGCGATGATCTCAAACAACTTGCTGAAATTGCACAGGATTGCTATTTGGCGATAGTTGGAAATATCAGAGATATCTCCACTTTTGTGAATAGGACATATTTTAGAGGTCTTCCAGATATTTGGATATGTCTCTGATTTTAGAATTAGGTTGAATATGGAAGCCAGCGGTTTCGCTAGTATATGAATGCAATCTTTAACGAAAAAACTGGGAATACCATCACATCCAGACGTCATTTGGTTCTTTAATCTTTTCGAAGCCCTAATTACGTTTTCTTCACTTATATTTTTTAAAGAAATGATATCGGTAGAATTATTTGTTGGAGATGACCCTAGTAGACCAGACGGGATAAAAACTGTAGAAAAGAAGGTAGCAAAACTGTCCACTATATCGTGAGGCGTACCGCAGACATTGCCGTTAAGCATCATCCTTGGGGGATTCTAGATTGCTGTTTTTTGACCTGGGCAAATGACCAGGATTTGCTAGGATCATTGACAATGGCATCCTCAACCGATTGGACGTAAGCGGGGTAGGCAACACTGATCTGGTTCTTAATGAGCTTCCTAAAATTACTGAACTGATCATAAGAAAACTTAGTACCGTCACATTTCCAGTTCCTTCTTGCTATGTCCTTCTTCTTGATATTAAGTATAATTTCACGTGTGAACAGTGGGGGATACGAAAACATTTTATTTTTACATTTATGGACATGGACCTCAAAGATGTTATTGATAACTGAATACAAGGCGGTACAAGCGACATCAACATTAACTGCACTGATCACATCCGTCCAATTAACATCTTGCAAGGCTGTGTACATTTCAGGAAAGTTAGCTTTGCGAAAGTTAAACCGTGGAGAATTAGCAAATGGGAATTTCGTTGGAGATCCGGATGTAATGAATTCCATGATCAGAGCAGGATGATGAACGTCCTCTTTAACAGAAGGTGTATTATCTCTGAGAACTTCTATTTCGATATTTCCTAAAATTAAATCCAGTATTCGACCATTTATATTTGGAATATTATTTTAATTAGTTAAATCTAAAAACGAAATAAAGTTGCTCATTAATTGAGTCTTCTGATCATTAACGTCACTGTTGAATGATGCGACATTAAAGTCACCAGCAACAATTATTTTACAATTACTGAAGGCATTGTTAAATACTTCCAAAGCTTCAAGGTACTGACCAAACATGTCCAAATTAATTGAAGGCGGAATATAAATAGAAAAGATAACAAAATGCTCATGATTAATAATAAGCCTAATACATACAGTATCAATTTGAGTTTGACTGCGATTTTAAGTATGTATTGTGACCTAAAATGGTATTCATTGTTAACAATCCGTACAAATGTGTCCAGTGGGAAAAATCACTTTTTAATTCAAGAAAAAAATATAAACTTAATGAAAAGAAAATATTATTTATTATTTCTTAAATATCAGTGTTTGTTTTAGATTTATTGAGCATTAATGCTACAATGTCCATAATATCCATATTACACAGTACACCACAAAATATATCGAGTACAAAATTTCCGAAGGGCAGCTGCGTATGAATCACCATTCTTAAAGAAAGCTTGGATAGCATAAGCACGTTGCGCTCCGGTCCAACGTTCCATTGTGACTATTTAACCCGCACGCCGAACACGTCGATCAAGACCTCTCACCACTTCCTCTCGTGTACGGTTGCCGCGTGATTCAAATTTGAAATATGAAGTTTCCCACTGGACAATCAGCGTGCAGTCATTCAACTTTTGGGTGGTGAAGGTTAGCAACCATTGCAAATTCAACGCAGAGTATGGAAACGCATGTTTCTCGTATCCAACTGTCAAGCAATGGTGTCGAAAATTTAAGAGTGGAAGAGAGGAGACGAATGATAAGCGGCGACAGTGGCGGCTCGTGGCCAAATAAAACAGGTGTTCTGCAAATCCGAACTTACCTATTTTTTGTATGTCAGTTCGATCCTGCGCTCCTTGGCAGCAAATTTGTCGATCACCTTCCCGTTGAATTTTTCCATGGTCGAAATAAATTCCTTTTCAATGGACAGCATCGACAACGCTGTAAGGCGAGCCTGGGTCATAGCATTTCGAAGAAAACTCTTGATTCTTTTCAATGTTGAGAAATTTCGCTCAGCCTCTGACATAGGAGTTGTAACAACAATTTCTAATAGCTTTTTTGTTTCTTTTAGTGTTTCCTTCACACTGCTTTGTATCAAAAATTTCAGAAGAGACAGAGTTCCATGTAAATCTCGGCAATCATTCCGTGCACAAATAACAGACAACTCTGTCTTTAAACGACTTTTTTCCAATTCGGGATATGCCAAGCAGGTAGTTTTCAACTTGTCATCAGGAAACTTACCACAGTATTCTCCAAAGTGTTCGGGAAAAAAAGGGATGCGGGTATTAAATGATCTTTGAATTGAAACCTGTCATTTGCAAAATTCACTATATTGTCGCATACTTCTAATGCGGCAACTCGGTGATCGTGACTGCTATTATTACGTCGTCTCCTTTTGTTGCCTTGGGGTTCAGTGCAATTACTTTTGGCTTCATTTATTATGTCATCAATTTTATTTCTCACATCGACAATACATTTTTCAAAATTATCGATAGCCGTTTTAACTTGCGCTGGCTCGGTTTTTCTCTTCTGCAACTGGTGACGACGTGAGGCATGACAAGATGAAAAAATGTTAACCAAAACACGAAAACAGAATCGTTTAACATACGGCGAATACCACAAGCTGCCTTGCAAACGGTTTCATTAGTGAAATTTTCTTCTATTTTTTCCATACATTCAATGATTGATTCTCTGTTCTCAAACACTACATTTATTGTTCGAATATTAAAATTCCAACGAGTTGTTGCTCCTTGGGGATTTTTTTCCCCCACAATTCTGTTCAGTACCAAATCCCCAAAGAACACCCGAACTTGAGCATTTGCTGAAGCAGCTTGGGACATAATCAGGTTTAACTGATGCGCATAACAATGCACATAGTGAACAAATGGATATCTTTGTTTAATTTTTGCCTGTACTCCAGCATTATGTCTGCTCATTACCGCGGCTCCATCATAGCTTTGTGAAATCAATTTGTTAGGGAAATTTCCTATTAATGAATCTACGACGCTCAAAATATGTCTTGTCAGAGCATCAGCGTCACATTTTTCGGGATTCATATAATTCCAAAGACGTTTTACTGGTTCGCCGTTAAATACGTATCTGAAAATTGTTACTAGTTGGGTTTTCCCCGAAATGTCAGTTGTTTTATCTGCTATTATCGCCAAACACGAGGCTCTGTTAATCTGTTTTATTATTTCTTCATGACAAACTTCAAGAATACAATCCAGTAGATCGTTTTGTATTTCTTTCGAAGTTCCTTTAAATATTGAAGCATTTTTTATGTGTTCGCTTAAGGTTGTATTAAGCTCAGCAGAAAAATAATCAGTCCACGAAATATTCCCGGGTTTTGGGAGCTCTCGGTTACGTCATGGCCCCGTAGCGCCGATTCAAATGCTCCGCAAAATTTTATACAATCGATTATTTTTGATAGAACGTACCTGTTTTTTGTAACGGTATCATTATGCTGTTGTATATTTATCCAATATGCTGAATCTAACTGAGCTCTGATGTTAACAGTCCCCAATAAAGCCAATTCCATCGAATTGTGAAGATGCGTTTGATGCTTCTTAATTTTTTCACTCAGGTGCACTAAATCTGTAACACCTACCTCCGCCCAAGCTTTGTCAGCGCCGAAAAGTATGCAAGGAAAGCAGAAAAGGGCATTCTTCCTGTTGCACCCACAAATCCAGTCATTTCTGGTGTAAAGCTTCCTGCTGAAATGCCGCGTATAGCCCTTGACCCCACTAACGCCCCGTGTTTCTATAAATATGTCCGGCAGTGGTCGACATAACACCTTCAGCTCAATTTTTCCTTCAAATGTGTATTTCCAGAATCGTTTCACGCTGATAAGTCTGTGAACCACATCCATTGTCTTGCACTACCCTTCTACACAGCCACAGTCAGTCAGTGAGTCACTCAACGTAAGACCCAAAATACCTAAATACAAATTTTTTCGCATTCAAATTTTAAGCCACGTCAGGCATAAGACCAATATGCCAATGCCGCCGACGATCGAGCACCGACCGACGAATCAGATATCGTACTTCGCATTAGATCTGTACGGATCTGTATAACGTACAGCACATGCTTATGCTTAAATCGCGCATTTAATTTTGCAGAAAGAGACAAAAGCAAGCGCGTGCGGCTTGTGTCGAAGTAGTGCACATACCCTTTTCAAGTGGCCCATGAATAATGTTACGCTGCGGTCGCGACGAAAATGACAAGTACACAATTGGTCGATTATAATACTTTCTCAATACAAAACAGACTCGACGCCGTGTCTTGCGGGGGCAGCGTTGCCGGTATTGTTTCTATTTGTGTCATAACATGGAAAATAAATAATGATCAAATTACTGCTGCTTTTTTCTGCTAAGACAAAAGTTTTGGCAGTTCTGCAGCTCGGCAGAACTTAAGGGCATTGAGTACTGCATCGACAAATAGGAATGTGGCATGTGTAGACGGCATGCTTAGAGAAAATCGTCGAATTTTAATCAGAAAACATGACAATCAACGTGACTGAGCACCTGGTAACCCTGGTTTAAGGTGTTATATTTAAAGAGCTTGGGGCAGTTAGGTATCTAGGTCACATTTTTTAATGTATTTCGAGAAATCCGTAATGTTGAGTAAATACTAGATCACGTTTCTTGCTTAGTTTGCTGAAAATTCTACAATAGACGTACATTTTGAGAAACAGAGATTTGGTGACGACAAAATCGTAAAAATGTAACGCATTTTCGTAAAATAATTTCTTTGTTGAAAAGACTGTGGCTTGATGACCCATTGAACGAGTATAGTGTCCCGCTCCGCTTTGAATATTCGAAAAACTATACTCCAGCAGCATTCAGCTTCAATGTTATCTTTATGAAGTTCTAACGTCTAGGCCATGCTGATTAAAAGCTTGAATGAATCAACTCTAAATTCCCCACAATTCGGGAAGCTCTACTCAAATTGGCAACACAGCGTATCTGCCTATTATTCTCATTCGTGATACAGGTCTGCGGTCTGCTGCAAATTTCAGTATGCGTTGAGTCGATAGAAGAAGTACAGTAGATGCGCGCATTACGCACCAGTTCGATTGGACGTCCTGTGAACCGATTTCGGTGATTTCGAGATTTCACGAAATCACCTAAATCACTCTACTTATTTTTATGAATGGATAATTGGTTTTGTAGCAATAAAGGTTGCGTCTCATAACAAAAATAAGAAGATACCCACTCTAACAAAAAATAGTACACTCTTAAAAATGTGTAACGAAAATAAAAAGATATTCTAATAAAAAAATAAGTTCTCAAAAATAAAACGCAATAATGAACACAAATGTTTCAAATGGTCCTTCACAGCTGGGGCTCAAAAACGTCTCCTTCATTCAATGAACAGTATGTCAGGCGGTTATAAAACTCCTGACGAACTCTCAAGAGGGTAGATGGCTGTATTTGCCCGAGCGCTTCAAGGATTTTCACCTGTAGGTTATGCAAATTGTCTGCTCTCTCATTGAAAGTGTAAACAGTACTTTTCACATAACCCCACAAGAAAAAATCATTGGGCGCTAAATCGGGTGATCTAGGAGGCCATTTTATTGTTCCGTTACCGCCAATAATCCGGTGGCCAAACACACTTTCAAGGTAAGTGTGTACGATCGCCGCATTATGCGCCGGGCATCCATCTTGTTGGAACGAAATATTATCGAGATCAATGCCAAGCTGCCTAATTGCAGGAACAATCTGCGTCTGTAGTAACGCCAAATATTTTGCAGCCGTAAGAGTTCCATCAATAAAGAACGGTCCGATAATGTTATTACCTAGAATTCCTGCCCACACATTCAGTTTCTGTGGATACTGCGTGCGGGCGGGAATACTGAGGTGTTTATTTTCCCGAGACCAATACCGAACGACTGAAAGATTGTGATGACCGTGGAGAGGGAATGTGGATTCATCAGTAAACGAAATATTACCAATAAAACTTCCATCCCTGTTCACCTTCTCCATGACTGTTTCACAAAACTCCATTCGACGGTATTTGTCTAAAGGAAATATTTCTTGAACCGTTCCAACCTTGAAGCTATGATAGCCGTTGCGATGCAAAATATTTCTAGTTGTTCTGGGTGTGAGATCGGCTATTGGTACCATTTCAGCAATTTTTCTGCTTGAGCATGGCTCAGATACTTCTGCAGCGGCACAAACAGCAGTTTCGATCTCCTCCCTTTTCTCGCTAATTTTTGGTTTCCAACCTTCAGGATGCATGCAGCTATGGCACTTATGTAGGCAGCCCACCCTCTTGAATTTTTCGTAGGTATTTATAACCGTTGCGTGAGACGGAATTGGCCGATCTGGGAAGCGTACCGCAAATAATTCAACAACCGCGCGTGCTGAATTATTCTGGATGTGCCATTCTATCATTTGAAACTTTTCTTCTTGCGAGTACATTTTTAAGATATTTTGGATTAAATAAAGACGCACCTTTCCTACACAAAACCCAACCGCAGAGTGAGTCATGAATCCCTTATCGCACTTGACAACGGCACGCGCGTTAACGGTAGGAAATACATATGTACGAATAGCGATGAAAGTAGACGAGCCGATGCGCTGTTGCCAAGAAATGATTTCCCATGTATAACAATGGTTTTTCCTAAGGTGTATGTGCCCTAATTGTATAATAAATTTTTTCTGGACCAAAGATGGGTTTCAATTGAGCAAGCCTCGTAATTTAGTAGACACGAATTCGACCGATAATGAATAGAAATAATAAATAATTTTATTTTGACATAAGGCGGGTGTTGCTAAGTTGAACGAAGCTAACGAATTAGTGAAAAAGTTAAAGCAGGAAGCAGTAGAGCAACAAGTGAAATTGGAAGAAAAACAGTCGAAGGCAAATGCAGCTTTGGATATGATTAGCAATACTATGAAGAATGCAAATACTCATAAGGAGGAAATGGAAGTTTTGAAAAATAAGACGGAACAGGAGAATCAAAAACTCATGAGACGGTATCGTACAAACTATACAATATGTTTGATCACGAAATACCGATATTTAAGGGCGGTATTTTTCAGCTATCTTTATCGACAGATCCACCCTCCTACAGTGTCCTACCTCACCACCCTTGAAATAGTAGTAGTAGTAGAAAGATTTATTTAGCACATTTGGCTACATAAACAGAATAATTGTAAACAACTTAGAACTAGTAAATTCAAGCCATATGTTGTATGATGTAAATGCTGGGCAACCTATAATAATTGTAGATTTAACAAGTGATTTCTCAATTTTACTTTAAATTTTGTCAAAGTTTTCTGGTCTTTTATCTCCGAGTATAATTTATTATATTCAATCAACCCTTGATGGAATACAGATTTGTAGCATATGTTATACTTTTTGGTCATTAAATGGAAGTCATCTTTATTTTCTTGTATTATGTAAATGATGGTCGACATGATGTTAAATTAGTTAGACTTGATGGAAATATATTATTTTTTATTTTATAAATGAATATCATTACAAGGTATTTGATAAAATTTTTTACATTGAGCCATTTTAATTTGCTAAGCATTTGCCTAATTGGAGTATATTTATCTTTATTTAGTATTATTCTCATGCACTTATTTTGTAAAATTTGCAGTCTTTCAAAAATGGAATTATTTGCTAAATACAGAATAGTCGAACAGTACAAGAAATTTGGAAGAATGATGGTATTATAGATAATTTTTCTGCTATATGAACTCAGACATCCAGAAACTCTCGATAAATATCCCACTTTACTACTAATCTTATTTATAACTTTTTCATAATGAATATCAAAAATTAATCGAGAGTCAACAAAAACCCCCAGGTATTTAAAATTTTCTACGAATTCAATATCTTCACCATCAATATTCAGTTGAACATTTGTACATTGTTTTTTTCCAATTAACAAGGCTTTCGTTTTACTTGCATTTAATTTTAGTCTGTTAGATGCTAACCATTTTGAGACAAGCTTCAAGTCTTCATTTATATAAGAGATACCAGACTGAATATTTTTAGTACTTATATAAATCATAGTGTCATCGGCGAAAATCTGAATTTTGCA